TCCAGACAGACCTGCTCTCGACAACTGCTCTTTATTGATAAAACGGCGCGAAAATCGGGCATAACTCATATTTAACGGAACTGTAATTACTTCTTCTTCCGGTTTCTTCCGTTTACTCCGGTACTATCTCCAGTAAGACCGCTGAGGGTGAGAGAACGTCACCGTGCAAAGTAGCATGACATTTCCGGCTTAGCGATTGCGGTTACAAAATAAAAGTACGTCCGTATTAATGTAGCTTTAACGGCAGTTGGCTGTTTGTTGCAATAAAACGACCATTTTGATATAATAACTATTAATTTATAATATACAATTAAATACTATGAAAACACATTTATCATATTGACTGATAATTTAAAAATATGTTAGAAAAAGAGCTTGTTTGTACGGACGGATACACTTCGAAATAAAAGCACATGCAAAAATACGGTAGTCTTAGATTTATCTTTTTCTAAAAATAAAGAAAACGTTTACGCTAAAAATGAAAACGCATCTTAATTGTTTTTTTTATTCCTGTTTGTGAGTTTGTGAGTTGCATTTTCATACGGGGAATAAGCTTCGACACAGTAAGATGTTATATATATCTATGTATACACACACACACACACACACACACACACATATATATATATATATATATATAATTATTAGCGTTAAAAATTGAGACAGGGTGGTTGGTAGGGGGTGGTGAGTCATTGGGTTTATTGCCACACACAATGACGTTAAATCACATATACCTTTTAGAGACGAAACTACGCAGAAGTGAACACAGTAGTAACAAAACCCATTTATAATGACAAAATATTAATATATTGACACGTTGTTACACTTCAGCAGCTGTGTTAGAAGTAAGCGGATTAGGTGTTCTTAAAGCTGGATGTCAGATTCTATTTTGAGTACATGTTAATCTTTTTAATTTCACTTGTAATCTTGAAATAAATCCATAATTACTGTATAGTCATCCTTCCATGCAGTTTCAGAAAGGAAAATAAATGTCTGCTGAGAATTTAAAAAAAAAGGCAGATTGTATTTTTTTTTAATTATACTTTAACGCCACCCTGTGGTGGAATTACCCAGTTTTCAGGGTGAAGACAAAACCATGACAATAGTGGTTATAAATTTTAAAATGTCAGCGTCAACATTAAAATATATGTCCAGTTCTTTTGTCTAACTATTTCTTTTAGAATAAAATGTGTCTGATTTGACTACATTAGGGCCATAGAGTGGGTGGAAAAAATACTGTCAGTAGAATAAAGACAGAAACACACATAAAATAAAAAAATATATAAAAAAGTCAATTAGAATAAAGATTAGGAGAAACCAGTCATTAAGATGTTGCCTGTCCTTGTATTAGATTTGGTCCCTATAAAACAAACAAACACACAAAGATAGGCAAAATCTACCATGACTTCTTATCAGTCTGGAAGACCCTGCTTCCAATAATGAGTTGTGGAAGCCACAGATCTTAATAAGTTCAAACGAGTTTGAAATTTGGCTTAAATTAGTACCAGGATCAGTGGGCAGTACAAGGAACGATGTGGCTGTTTAAGACACAACAGTTCCAACAGAACCCTGGAATATTTCTGGGTTTGTGGCCCACAGAGTAAATACTACAGAACTGACAGACAGGAGAAAATTCAAACATTCAGCGAGTTAGTTAGTGTAGCAGATGCTGCAGGAAAATGCGACAGTATAACCGTCATAATTATGGAGGTTACTGCTTCCGATAATGTCATGAAAAAAAGACAGCTACAAAGTGGGCAAAGCCACTGGTAAAAACAAAAAAAATTACACTAAGCTCTGTGGGAGTTTGGATGGTCACAGCCACAGGTTGATCACAAGTACGTCAGGTTTTTGCACAGACTGATGTTCAACAACATTTTACCTCATTAGTCTCCGGTCATGTCTGATTCAACAGCTGGAGTCCTGACACTGGAACTCCTCCCTCTGCTCCAAGGTTTACCTGAAAATTTAACCACTTCCTCGCTCACATCCTAGATCTGCTCATGAATGTCCCAGATGTCGCCCACCATAACGTAGGAGCAGCCCTGCAGGGTCCAGGTGGCGAGGGCCAGCTGGACATGAAGCTGCTCCATGTCCCTTATCCTACCCAAGGACGCCAGAGTGTGTGGGCCACGCCCCAGCAGGAGGTGACGAAAGGGGGTCTGAGTCGGTGACACGTACGGAGAGAGGAGCGAGTGCTCCACCTGGAAAATGGAGAAAAAAATGTTCATAAAAGGAAATAAAGTCATTTTTGTACTTTAACTTTTGACAATGCTCTTTATTATTTTACTACCTGAATTTAATTGTATTTATACAATTTTATGTATTATGTATTTATACCAACACCTTAATTTTATCCTACTTAAATCTAAAATAAATTGTGGTCAATTCCACAATCCAACATGAAACAATTTCATGTGTAAGTTTGATTTCTCCTTTGATTTCTAAATGATGGAAGAGCAAAGAAATCTGACCGCCGTGATCCTGTTGTTGATCATTCTACAGGTCTTCTCATTATTCAAGTCACTGTTGGAGATGCTTGTGTTGACCTTTTCAACAGCTCTGAGGAAGGAGCCTCGTGCTTCCACCAACCAGTTAGTACTCACGTTCTGGAGTTGACCAGACTGTTGGGGGAAAAAATAAAAATAAAAACAGATTATTCAACGTTAAAGTGCAGAGACGGTGATGGAGATGGTGAGACCGACCTCCTGCAGTTTTTTGATCCGCATGTAGACTGGTATCACAGCCTTATTGATTATTCTGCCGTATTGGTTCACATCCAGGTTGATCACGTGGTCATGGACCAGGCGCAGGGCCATCACGCCAGCGCACTGCGCTGCCAAAGCTGTTATCTCACTGCTGTGATGGTTGGTTTGATAATCCAGGTGGTCCATGTTGTCCAGGTTGGTGTCATAGTAAGGGTAGGACTCCATCTGTTAGACACAGATATTTAGAGAAGAAATATCACATATTTATTTTTATTAAATAAATAGCTATGACTTAAAATAAAGTAAAAGAGAACAGAAAACTCACATTCTTGGAGGTGAAGTGGAAAGACATGGAGGGAATTCCAGAAAAGGCCAGGAATGGATAGGCAGGATCATCCATAGACATGGGCTTCATTCTGTTAACATCAGAGGAAAATGTTGTAGGCTAAAGCTAAAGCTAAATATGAATGATTCATTTTCAATTTTCAGAACCTTATCTCAGTGGATGGTTGATTCCACTGACTATTATTAAGATCATTGATTACTATCGATTTGCTTGGATTTCCTACGTACACGTTTGCCTCCCAGTTGTTTTTTCCCACCATGTCGTACACAGTTCCAGATCCAAGTGGACTGGGCATCTGTGTGGGCGAGACAGACTAACGTCAGAACGAGCTGAAGAGGTTTGTGAGAGGAACTGGATCAGGACAGAGGGATGTGTTCTGACCGTTTTCATCGTGGTCTCGATGAGGCTGTAGAGCAGAGGACTGGACGAGGCTGTGAAACTGCCTCGACCTTCAGACCAGGAAATGATACCCAATCAAATAAATGTATTTTCACTTCAATAAACAACATACAACGTAGATGAAGTCATTTATTTACCCATAACCAGTCCATCTAGACTTATGTAGGTGAAAAGCCTTTTGTCAATAGTAGACATGTACGCCTAAAAAAAGAAAAAAAATGTTTTCTGTCATTTGGTCCGTAGTAGACATGATATACAGTATGTTCTGTTCAGATGGATTTACACAACATCACTGTGTATCCTACTAACATGTACATGTCTGACATGTTAGTCAAGCTCTTGTATTTCCTACCTCTAACCACTCGGTGGCACCAACATTCCCATATTCTCCTGCACTCCAACTTGCAAACACGATACTTCTCCTTGGCCTAAATCCATCTAAAAGATAAAAGAAAAGTTGATTTAAAAAGCCTGGTGAACTAATGTGGAAGTACGTTTTCATTTAAAAACAAATATTTTTTTTTACCTTTCTTCACCATCTCACTGAAGGCTCTGGCCAGTTCTATCAGAACACAGGTACCAACGTTGGCTCTGGCGTAACCTCTGCCCCAAGCGTCTCTCTGAGCTCCGATGACGAGGTACTGATCTAACGGCAAACGCAGACACAACACCAACAACCTGTCACAGATGAAGACGCCTGGATCTTCTGCTGCTGAGGATGATGGGAGTCAAACCATCCTGCCTCACCAGGATCAGTGAATCCTTTGATGACTCCAAACACGTTGCGGATCTTTGTGTTGACCAGGATGTTGTTCACCTCCACAGTGATGTTCTTGCTGCCTCCCAGTCTGTATGGAGGCATGTGGAAGCCCCCAATAAAACCACTGCTGGCGTTAGACTCTGGTCCATGGATGTTCCTGTTCACAGTAAAAAAAAAAAAAAAAAAGAAACTTAGACTTAGTTCTGACTGACAGTGCAGTATGTATACACACTGGCTTGTTTGTAATTTCTTCTAAAAGTTATTTTAAGCTATTGATTACTTACTTGATTTGGTCGATAGTTAGCTATTGTTGCCTTACCCTTAGCAATTTGTGGTTTTACACATTTAGCCAAGATACATGGGTGTGTTGTATCAGTGAGTGTGTAGAGGTCCTACTGTAGGAGAGTGTAGGCCATGTTGGCAGTGATGGTCTGAGCAGGGATTTCAGGGAGACCGGACGACTTGGTGGGAGGAAACAGGGTGTGGTTGAAGGAAGGGAAACCAGGGGTGTAGGGGTCACCACAACCAAGATGGACCTGAATGAGAGACAAAAATACCAGTAAAGACACAGAACTAGATGATGTCACATGAGACGTGTTGGACTTTTGCCAACGTACGTGTCCGTACAGAGCCGTGTCGCCCTCGTACTTGTAGTCCTGTATGTCTGGGTAAATGAGAACAGCAGAGGCTCCCTTGGCTGCAGCAATGACCACCTGAAAAACATCAGATGACATTTGACGGATCCCTTCAAAATCATACAACAACTGTTGCCCATGAGGGGCTGGAACAAACCTGTACCTTCTCTGCATACGATATTTTCCCCTTGCGCAGCAGCAGGACGCTGCCATTCAGCTCAATGTCCTTTTTAAGAACCACGTCCAGGTCCTCCAGACGACCGTAGTTGGCGTAAACCAGTTTACCCTTAATATAAAAAAAAACAAAACAACAATCTGTTCAATTGAACCTTCAGTTAAAAACATCAGAACAACTAATACATGTGCAGTATTTAAAATACAAACAAAGTCTTTTAAATACAATATCTTCTGCATAAATGAACTTACCTCAACTTTCCCAGTTGCACTGTAGGCCAGATACCCCTCAGGTTTGGACTCATCAGACCCAAAAATGACACGGTTTGGGTGATCGCTGAAATAACAAAAATATTTTCTCTGTTCAGCAGCAGTTTCTTTGGGTTTTTTTTCATACAAATAAAAAGATAAAATAGTTAGAGAAACCAACTAAAGAGATAAACATTTATTAGCAAAAAATATGAATTGTCAAGTTGCAACCATGATCAAAAATAATTCTTCTAGCACAACACAGTGGTCTGGCACCCCCTAGAGGAAGCACGCCTCACACTTTGAGAACCACTGCTTTATTCTAACCAAATATTGTCTAGAGATTCACAGCGCCACCAGCAGGGCAGTCTGTACAGATATTTGTAAACACACACATTGGGTGGATTTTGTTTTTACCTGTCTGGTGTCTGCAGCTGAACATAGTGGTCGTCAGACCACGGGTCCATGTTCAGCTGCTTGAACTCTTCATAGACACGAGTGGCCAGACGACCGTCGCCTC